GGGAGAGAGAGAGAGAGAGAGAGAGAGAGAGAGAGAGAGAGAGAGAGAGAGAGTTTGTGATGGGATGGTATGTGGGAGAGTGAATAGAGAGATTTTATTTACCGGGTGGAGTAAAAATAGGTCAAATGTGAATAATTAAGTCAATGTAAGATGAGTAATGATTATTTATTTGTACACAGTTGTGTACGTGCATAGTCTTGGAGCTAATTGGACCGTATAGTTTCTTTTTTCTTTTATGATTACGAAGACACTTAACCGTATATTTGAATAACTGGGAGTGGATTACAAAATCTAATTCAGATTTCATTACGAAATACATTAGTAGTATGCATGAGAAAATTTGTTTTTTGGTGGAACATGTGATGCACGAGATTATTTTATAATCATTCTCACTTGGACGTGAATCGAATCCTAAACATTATAGCATAATTTGATTCCTCTTAAAATCTTTAATTTATACGTAATGACTAATGTACTGCTCCATTACGGCTTCCATACTTTTTAAAACATAAAAAAAAAAACAGCTTGTATCCAATTTCATACGTATAATTGAATTTTGATTATAATATACGGATATACACACACGCTACAAAAGGCACGAGGTGCAGATGCATAGATAATGTCACTGCTTTTGGGAGATTGGCTCTCATCCCAAGCAATTAGAAAAAAGCTCTTCCTATCTATTTGTTGAGCATTATAAAAATATATAAATCAATCCAAAAACAAAATTTTATATTTAGTAGGGTTAAGAAATGATCAATTACAAGTCTAATGATTATGCTCTTAATTTATATATTATCCATACACGGTATGAATGCAATAGATTTTTATTTTATCTTACACCATACAATAATGTTAGGTTATTACTACTCATAAAGGCGCAAGAGTTCAAGGAGATGGGCATGGATATTATTTCATTCGTTTCACAAAAACATTAGAAATTTTTTAAATTTTCAGCATGTATGAATTTCAAAGATGTGAATATGTATTTGATATATTATTAAATTTGAGAAAGAAATTAAGTAATAAAAAGGGTTGAAAAAGGAGGGGGAGCAATAGCATTGGTGTGCGCATCAAATGGTCGGCTTTCCCTCAAATGGTGTTAGCCCATGGAATGTCCAAATCCCGACCGCAGATCCTCCACCCTCTCCTCTTCTCTGTTCCTTTGTATTATATTCTTTAAAACAAAAGATTAATAATTTCATTTTTTAAATAATTCGTCTTCATTATCAATTCCTATATGTATGGAGGACTTTGATTACAGCTAATTAATTAGGTCATGATGATTAATTACCATACGTTTAACTCTCAATCGACCCAAGCAATTATCTTTAACATTGTCTACAATATAAAATTATATGTATTTTCTTTCTTTATTGGATATTATATGATTTATATCTAAACACCGAAATTGGTTATGAGAAAACTATATAAATTAATAATGACCCACAATCATTTTACCAATTTCGTGGTTATATTGCTCTGTTTTATGCATCCATTATGGCAATTATTTATGCACAGAATAGTGTACATGACCCACAACAACATTTCATGTTCACTGTCGCATAATGTAGTACTGTATATATATATATATATATATACACACATATACACACACGCGTTATTCTTCGAATTAAATATTCACATCATATTTAGTTCGACCGGCCTGCTGTGTGTAAACGTTATCTGTGTCATGTAGCTGCATGGGTTGATATTTGTCACATTTCTATATACACACTTACGAAAACGATGTTCTTATATCCGTGAATCTAATGCCGAAATTAATATTAGAAATATATATATATATATATATATATTCACATTGAACAAAAGTATGAGCGTATAAATCTGATGTATGATGAGACAAAAATTACAGGGATCAAATCATGTGTGTAGTTATTAAAGTTGCATGTTCATCTCTCTCTCTCTCTCTCTCTCTCTATATATATATATATATATATATATATATATATATGCGTTTTATTCACCCCTGTTCTTTGAGATGATTCTCTTCGTTAATGGAGGAAACGTCTTGGTACTTCCTTTTAGGCTAAGTTTCTCTAAGAGTGGAAATTGATGTTGAAATATGGATTTATTGATTAATTTATGTTTGTTAATACAAAATTGAATGTCAAGTAATTGACCATTCGCTTTTAGGAAGACTTGGACGAAATAGAAACGATGAAATAGACTAACGAGAAAACTAAAGAGATCACAACAATTTAATTACGATCATACGGTTCATATATGTTTATATGAAATAATCTTGGAATATACATACATATATATATATATATATATATATATATTTGTATCCAAATCTTGGCATAATTATGTGAAGAATCATTCGCAGGAATCTATGTGTAGGATAAAGGTTTTAAAATACTTGTGTCCTGTCCAAAGTGTTCCTACAGGAGTCTGGAGCCTTACACACCTTATAACCCCTTACCTGTGTGTCATACATATACACATATGGACATATATATAGACAGAATATATATATATAATATGCATACATACATATATATAAAAAAAGAGGACTTTAGGAGGGCCCCTCTTTGTAATTAGGTTTTAGGTTTGGGGACTGTTTTATTTCCGGATGTGACGTTTATAGGATAATATACATACACACATACATACATATATACATACATACATATATATATAGATATAGATATAGAAAGGATAATATATATATATATATATATATGTGTGACTTTATATGATAACATATATATATATATGTATATATGTATTATAGAAAAATAAAATGCGGAAATAAAATAAGACAAATAGAAAAGAACAGAATTATTTTTATTACTACATCTCTTCTTCTTCTTGTTACATTACAATGAAAATGATATACATATTTATAGGAAAATTAAAAAACGGAGTAAAAAGGAAATATAGATACAATGGAAACAAATCAGATACATATATAATATTTGGTATAATGATATTGTATCCATTATTATTCTCCATCATATCTCAAATCTTATTTTAACTCCAATCACATATTCGTTTTCCCATTTTAACATTCCCCCTCAAGATTATCTTTGAAAGAATGAAAAAGTCAATCTTGAATTGATAATACTATAAACTGCCCAGACATTTTCATTGTCTCTAAAAAAATTCATAAACACCAAATTTTGTTCTTTTAGATAGTATTAACCATTTTCAAATCACTTCGCTTGACTTTAAAGTTCTAACTTTAACTCTTTTTGTCATACCATATTGCTTGATCTTAGAGTTTTTAGTTTTGACTTTTGTTTGTCATAACACATCGTTTGAATTTTGATTTTTACTCTCCTTCGAACGATTTTGATATATGAACATTCAAAACGCAAAAGAAAGAAGAGATTAAAAAATTAAAAAAAAAACACATTTAGTCTAGATCGCAACCAGGTTCTGATACCATGTAGAAAAATAAAATGCGAAAATAAAATAAGACAAATAGAAAAGAATAGAATTACTTTTATTGCTACATCTCTTCTTCTTCTTGTTACGTTACAATGAAAATGAAATACATATTTATAGGAAAATTAAGAAACGGATTAAAACGGAAATATAGATACAATGGAAACAAATCAGATACATAATATTTGGCGTAATGATATTGTATCCATTATTATTCTCCATCATATCTCAAATCTTATTTTAATTCCAATCACATATTCGTTTTCCCATTTTAACATGTATATATGTATATGGTTGTATGAATTTGTTTTACAGAGTACATGAACAAAACCCTTAGCACCAACGGGAGGAAAATAATATGAAATATATATATATATATATATGTATGTATACATAGGTAGGGACATATATATGTGGAAGAGAAATAGTGGAGCTACCATTATTTTTGGCCATGGATAATACAAGATAGGTGTACCCCAAACTCTAGGCTTCACCTAATATGCATATACACACACGTATATATATATACACAAGCGCTTACGCACATGTGACCACGAATAATAAATATATCATTTTCATTTGTTATGATATAAAAAAAGATTAATTGGAGAGTCTTAATTATAATTATATATATACGTGTGTGTGTGTGTGTACTTGTAGAGATCTCAAAATCAAAGGTAAGTTGTGGCAAATCCAACTTTTTTTTTCCTTTTCGCTTTAAAGAAAAAAAGGGCGTGAATACATATTTAATTAATTAAAAGAAGGGAGAAATGAGTGCAACACTCAAATAGATCTTTAGAGACCACTTTTTGGTTATTTCAAAACACATGCATGTTGTTAGAGATGGACCGGTAATTAAATTTCTTTTTCGGATACTGAATTTTCGTATAATCACTTCAAAATCTAATTAATATACACGTAGATCCGATGATTTAGGGTTATATATATATATATATATTTATAATGGACCGATGAAACATGAATCTTGGGTTTAGGGAACGAACAGCAGATAGAAGTGAAACATGTAAGCATTTTTGCAGCGATGCAGGACATCGGAGTGGGAGAAGACACCACTCATTCACCCGATGCATTTATTATTATTATTATTATTATTATTATTATTATTATTATTATTATTATTATTATTAAATGAACGCAAAAGATAGATAGATAAATAAATAAATGTAATAAAAGAGAGATGTCGGGAGAAAGAAGATATTTGGGTTTAGGGTTTCAAGACAGCACTGACTGTGTCTTCTGTGTCTGCTGCAGCATCGAATCCAAAACAAACTCAATCTCCTCTCTGTTTTGTCTCTTCAACACTTTTACATTCACGAAGCCGAAATTCCCAAAAAAAAAAAACATGAACAAAAATCTATAAATGTAATGTCAAAAACAATTATGCCTCTAATTAATTTCCTAATACGGTTGTCACAAAAACATTACAAGTGCTTTAACATCCAAGAAGACCACAAAGCAAAATCCAAAACAGAAAAATTACTAAAAGAAAACCCAAAATCCAATCTTGCAATACATAGTAGAAAGTTGTACATTGGCCTATACATGAATGGCTTTGGAAATCTGATTGAGAGATGTAATGTAAATGGGAATTTGGTTTGGTTATTAGTCAAAAAGCCGAACCGACAAGCTTACTCGTGTTTCTCTTCTCTGCTCTTGGTTGGGTTTGATGATGGTGATTTGGGGGGAGGAGGGGTCGAGCGCTCAGACTGAGAGGAACGTATCAACACCTGCATAAGGAGGGTCACCACTCCCAACCCGACCCCCGACAGACCTATCCCCTTCCACGTCGAAAACAGTTTCGACCATTGCAGGAACTTCATTGCCCCCGTTGTTAGTATGCATGCCCATGATGAAACCACCTGTCGGATGTACATACATACGTACATACATATATGCATATATATGTATATGAGTTTGAAAAGATGGATTGAAGAGAGAAGCTGAACTGTGAATGAAGGGATGGGAAAGCTTGTTTTAGGGGAGAAGGCTATAACCAACCACTAATGACTTCACTGGTCGACCAATGTTCTGTTCTTCCTGATCACTGAAGGTGTCTTCTGCTATGTGTTTGTCCAACAATGCATCCTACAATACAACTCAGTGACAGGAAAAAAAAACAGCATCTATCTGATCTATGTTGCATTTGATCAATTTTCCTCCATGCTTTTTTTAGCTATAATTAGAGCAGGAAATCGGTAAAAACATAATAATTCTAACCTTGGCCACAAATTGGTCCCTGCACCACTGTGCGACACCGTCATCAGATTCAGGCAACTCTTTCATCAAATGCCTCTTAATGTGAACATGCACCTGAAACGAGCATAAATTCATCTAAGTCCACTGATTATGACCAGAACTCCAATCAAGCAAGGCAAACACCTCTTAGACTTGACATATAAATGGTACAATAAAAATCACTTGACACTATTCATGCACAGATGAAACCTGTATTGTTTTCCAAATGTGGGAGTCCTCCGTGTTGATTCACTTAACATATAAACAATATATTAACTTTGGTTCTAATCGAGGGAAGAACCTAATCTATTACCGAATAATGACGTGAATCAAGCGGCAAATACTACCAAATTTATCATCAGAGGGCGAACACCCAAAACCTATCTTAATTTTCTCACTTACAACCGAAGATTGTCCTTTGAAAAGCCTGAGCATCGTAGGCTGGGGAGAAGTCTTAGGAATAGCCACCGTCACATCATAAATGGCCGGGACAAATGATCGCATATTACTAACAGCTGACACAAAACCCTGAAAAGAACAAAAGCCGAGTCTGAATTAGGCCAAATCAAACAAAATAAAAGCCAAAAGCAACCATACTGCAGATTGTGACATTGGATCAGCAATAGCAATGAAAATTCTCTATAGTTCATAGGGAAAGCAATGGTCAGGAATTTTAAGTTCTCCCAGGAATGACAAATAAATGAAAAAGACAACTTACTTTGGTACGAGGAATCAAGACATTTCGAGGGATAGGCAACCCACTAGAGGTTGCATACTCTTGTGCTGCTTTAAGTTTAGCCTCAGTGAAGCGAGTTCCCTCCACAAAGAGTGCCAACCAGAAAGGCTGAGGGAAATCCTTCAAACGTTGAAGGCCTAACTGTAAATTGTAACACATACCTAGTTCATGAGTATGAAAATGAAAGATTCTACAATTTAAGGATGTTAACCCCCTAAATATGAGATAAGTGAATGTACCAGTAAGCGTTTCCGGTAGAAGCAAAAATAAAGGATCGTTTCAGAATCACACAAGAAATCGTATAAACTTTTACCCACATACCTTTAACGTATTTTCATCCTTGGCCCAGTTTCTTTCCAGAAACAGATATTCTGAGAACCACATTGACCAGCCTATGACCTGCATGTGTGGGACGAATCTCAGTTTATGATAACTCTAGACTAAACAACAAACCTAACTATAGCAAATAACTAAGATAGCTAAGCTAAACTTTCACGACGATATCGAGAAATGTATTAACCAGCAAACACAAGATATCTTGGTTAATTACCAACTTATGAGCGAGCATAAAACTTCAGGGATACAATTCCTTTTCCAACACAACAGAAATTCAGAAACGAAAAACCAGATTACTTCGCAAAGCAAATCATCCAATGTCACTTTCTTAGTGCTAATATTGATACAGAAGCTTTTAGTAAGCACACCAGCTAGCTGATGAATGGGTATGATAGTGTTATCCAGTCACATACCGGAAGGAATTTGGATGATTTCTTCATCACAGCTAATGAGCTTCCAAGACAACCTGATCGCTGCATTTGAACAAACAAGGAAACAATCAATTTGTACATGTATATAACATAATAAGACAAAGCACGGTAGAGTATGATTTTCTGTTTGTTATCGGCACTGGATCATTTGAAAGTTAAAAAGTTCACATAAGGGGATATATTTCACAAGGCACAACCAGGCAAGGCATGGCGGGGCTCCATCCATGTGAGATATTAGACACTCAAGTCACCAAGAAATTACTGCTGATATTTTCTTCTGGAAGTAAAAACTTGCACACAATCGCAGTTGTCTATTGTTAATGAAAGCAAAGCCAAAATATAAAGCTTAAACTATGCACCTGAGCCAACATCCATCCGACAAGCCAGTCTATATCACTTCTGTGATTACAGATGACAAGAGCGTGCTCCTTGCCTGGACAATATGAGAGACTAGAACAGTGAAAAAATACATACAATTTGATCCCAAGACAGGACAGGATATTCATTTTCTGGAGATAAAAGACTGGGTTAAGTTGCCCCCTTTTCCAATACGCATGGACTTACCCATTTGGTTGAAGGTCTCGCGGTCTGTGAACACTTGGATCTGAGGCAGAGCAAATCGAAACCTTCAGTGAAACCCATAGAATTTAACACTATATAAATATAACATACGTGCGAGCATTGGTTCAAATCGAGTAAAAGATCGATCATCTGCTAACTTATTCATGAAGCGACCCAATTACTAATGCAAGGTCAGGTTCATCTCCTAACAACCGAAAACTAAAAACCAAACAGGACTTGTTCGAGATCTGTGGATACCTTCACTCCTGCCCACCAATCTACGATCCATACAAGTTCCAACCACAAGGTTTCTGCAACCACCCGGTTGATTTTTCTGTATGTGTTCTTAGACAGAGGTCGAACGAGCACATAGCAAACTGCCTGAAACAAGATGTTGAAAATGTCAACAATGAGGGATATAACGTTCAGCAAATGACATTCACACTCACAATATGTCAAAGCTTCGTCCTCAAAACCGAATCCTGAATAAGCTGATACAGATTAAGACAAACAACTTCAACAACGCACCGACCATGTTTGCGTTAACGTATCAGAGACAACAAATGGGCATTAGATAAGCTTGCATGGAGGTCGAAGAATGCATTTTGAGCTTATAAAAACATCTCAGCTACGTTCTCTAACATCATATATCATCACATAGAAGAGAAAAACACAAAATCAGAAGCTTCAGAAGACCTCCCTTTTGACGGATCGCATAAGATTCAGCAAGCATATATGTAAGAATCCGGCATTCACTAGACGCAAGCCCAAAAAGATCGCGAATGCGGGCAAAATCAACTGGATGCGAGAATTCCCATACGAAAAAAACCGAAGGTCGATCAAAACGGATTATACAGAAGCTTCGAATCCTAGAGGAAAAAAAACCCACCTGGACGAGATTAACGGCGAGGCCAGAGACGAAGAAGAGAACGCCCAGAGGCACGATGACAGCTGCAGCAATCACCATGGAATCGCCTACAACGGACAAAACCGATGGTTAGACACAGTGAGCAGATGAAGACCCACCACCGCGATTTATACAGATTTGGAGGAAACCAATTACGAATTTCTCCCAGATTCGGAGAGCAGGTGAGGGGAAACTTGCAGATTTAATGGAGGAAAACACAAATAAATAGCCCAAGAAAGAAGAAATCGCGAATTTAATGGGAGGATGAAAAAATAGGGCAAAGATTAAATTTCAGCAAGAAACCATACATACTGATTGGAACATATAATGTGTACGGAGATGCGTGCGAGGACATAACTGCGATTGCTTCACACTCACGGTCAGTCACCCGGCACGGGCTCACGCATTTTTCCTATTTTTCGAAATAGTCCTTATCTTTTATATAAATTTCACTAATACCACCGTTGTTTTAGTCATGCGTAGATCAACCCCATTTGGTGAACCATTTTGAATTTTCGATACGATTTATATTATTATGGTTTGCGCATTCCATATTTTGTTTTCGTTAAGGTAGCAAAATAAATTCCTTACTTCAGATTTCAACTTTCATTTTTTTTTCAATTTAAAAATCTTATTGATTTAAAATATTAACGCATCTTTTTTTATACGATTTGATATGTATTGTTTTTTTATCAATATTGATTTTGAATTCTACAAAGATCATTTCCTAAGGTTTAAAAATTCGGTTTCTTTTCTTTTTCTTAACTTAATCTTGCATTTCTTCGTCTATATCTCATATCCGAGTCGTTTTCACGGGGCTGTCAAATGCATAAACATAAAACACGGGGAAAATTTCGAAAGAGATGAGAATATAGGGGTATTTCGCAAATTGTCCCCTATTAATGATAGAGAAGGGGAATGCTGGGGGGGTACTTTGTACTTTCTCGAGGAAGTTGGATTGATCGAAATGAGGTCGAATTTTATCGTTTACACGTCTCTCTAAATTAACATCCTATACATACATATATATATATGTATATATATATTCGAAAATTAATCATTTGATCATCATTGTACGTTACAATAAAAGTTTGAAGTATGGACCTTGTATGGGTTGATGGGTATAGTGCAAAGTGATCGAATCTTTTTTTTTTTTTGGATAAAAAGGATGGTTCCTCGGGCCTTCGACCCGACTACATCCACCCTAGGTCCGGGACCAGCCTTTGTATATGGATCATTTTAGTCCAGAAATTACATCTCTCCCCATCAGTGGAATCGAACCCAAGACGGGTCATCAACTGTTGGGTTATCAAATTTTTTATTCTTAATAATGATGAACTTTTGGCTATAAATTAGGCTGAAAAAAAAAAGATATCCTGTAACGATTGTTTTTCCTATCATGTAATTATAGCGATAATATATATTGTTATACTTTTTTTCATAAAAAATGATATAAAACCGAGAGAAATTTTGATAAGGTATCTACATCTTTTGTGGTCGAGAGTGGCTTTCTTAACGTTAAAGGTCTTTTGAATGTACATCGTTCGATTTCGTATGTGAGGAAGATGACACAATATAATGCGTTCTAAAGATTGTCTCCGTATTTTGAGATGTAGGTGGGTCGAAAGTCCAATGAACTTTTCACAATTTTTTTTTATGAGGTTTGATTATCCGTACAAGATATATATATATATATCGACATCATTTTCATATTAGTTAGATCATCTTTCCTACACTCAATATTATATGGGATGAATTGGAAAAAACCCTATCATGATATCAAGCAACTTATTCCATTGAAAAGGAAATAGATTACAAATATGAGAATAAGTATGGTAATGGACGAATCTATACTAATAACAATTAGATCATATATATTCTGTATCACTAAAATAAATCTTCGTTATATATATATATATATATAATTAAACCAAACCAGTAAGTAACCTTTATATATTTCATAATAAATTTTTGTATCACCATGATTCATGACTATAAAATTGAATTAGTGATTCAAGAACCAAAAAAAAAAAATTATTTAATACGACGTAATTAGTTAACTAATCAAATGGTTTTACATTAAATTTAAACCGTTTCATTTATTTATTTCTATTTCTGAGTGAAGTGTGGCGTCATTGGATTTGCTGAGGTGAAACTCGAAGCTAATGGGGCTGGATCCATCTCTCTAAGCCCGGCCCATTAAGTGAACCATCGGTCCAAGTTGTGAACAAATTAAATTTTAGATATCCAAAATTTTGTGATTTATATAAAAGTACTAATATGTTTCTAGCTTTTTCATACAAATATACACGTTTTATTTTTTTATTATATATATTTTTATTTGGTGGCAATGGTCACTTTTATTTTAGGCACAACACAGAAACTGTCATGTGTAATTTTTTTTGGAAAATTTTACAATATTGTATGATATTAAAACATATGAAAATTTTGAATTTACATGTTGACGATTGTTTACAATTTTCGATTCGACTTTTTAATAATAAAATTTTGTACATATTGAGTTTGGAGAAAAAAAAAGTTGAAGATATTCATAAGCCGGAATATTTTACAAATTTAGGAAGCATTAAAAATATATTACGTGTTGTTTTATGTAACCAGGAATTATCCTTAATATTCATATTGTAATGGTCAAATTAGATGTGCGATCACATAAGCACCGACTTTGTACTTTTTATGAAAACTGTTATGCTTTGTCCGTATGATATTTATATTAAATGGAAGATTCTTAGGCCATGATTTACCATTTTTATACCACAAAAAAAAAAGAACGTTGACTTTTACAACAAATACCACGGTCTGCGTTGACTTTTGTTAGATAAAAGACCAAACAGGATTTAAATCTACATAAAAAAAAATGGACTGTCCAGTAATATATAAGTATCATGCTCAGTTGTGCACTTCCATTTACATATTTATTTTGCATATAAAATATTAGGCAGGGGATCACGTTCAAAATTTTTAAATCATCAAACTGTCCAAAAGTTTTAAACGATATTTTTTTTAAAATCAGATTTTTTAGAACCATATCAAACTGAAAATACATTATTTAAAAAAAACGATATTTATTTAAAAAATCGAATTTTTTTAAATCCCATCTGATTTTAAAAAATCCGAAAACAAAAATTTCTTAAAATATCTAATTTTTTTAATAAAAACTTGAACTGAATCTAATATAAAATAGTAACCGATTGTTATATATTTTTATAAAATCAAAAAAATTGAATCGAAATCAAAGCGAATAGCGAAATGCGAATACGAAATGACCACCCCTAATCTTAGGAGTTTCTGTATCTTCTAGGATGATTAAAATCAGTTTTCACTATTAAATAATCATTAGCCTAACCAAATAAATATTTTATCATACATTAGTTTCTATACTAGGATTATACTATTAAAAATTAGATCTTGACGCCGATAAATATTTCTGCAAGTTATATTATACTTTATGAATTTTATAATAATCAAACTAAATTCTTAAAAATGTTAAATTTTTTTATATGATTCAAAATAAAAATAAAATAATATTAATAAAATTGCAATTAATATTTATAATAATAAATTGTTTAAATTCAGTAATCTGAGCTGTACACCACCATCCACCTCAAACGCAACAAAAAAAAAAAACATATACGTTGCAAAAATCGGAATATTTTAGTATGTAAGCAATCACTAGGCGACACGTGTGAATTCAAGGCTGTGCAACTTGCATGACTTGGGGTAAATTCGGAAATTCAGTCACCTCTCCGTTGGACCTTGCGTCAGCAATGGCGCGCGTACTCTGCTAGTATGAGAAGGAATGCCTGTTAAAGTTACTATTTTACCCTCAAGAGTCAATGCCCCTCCTCCTCGTTCAGAATATTCCCTTGACGTTAATAACTAACTTGTCGATATTTATTTCTTAATTATTGTACTCGTTCCCCATTATTAAAATATAAACATATATATATATATATATGTGTATATTATATGGGTCAGTTCCATACAAAACGTATATTGATCCTGTAACCATAACGTTTCAAAATTCTATCAGCGCTTTTATCTAATATTCAAAATTAACATATGATCATGGTACAATTTTCTCAATTCGTCTCATTTCATAAAACAAAAAAGAGAAAATTATAGTTTAATATTCTGTGATAAGCTGTTATGTATTAAAATATTCTTGTAATTAATATATAATATATATAAAATATATACATGCACACACACAGTCATACACATGTTAGAGCCCACGGCGGTGCACGTAGACCACTTCCAAATGGCTGTGCTTCCCTCCCCACACCCAGAGCCCACGGCGTCCCCTCTCTCTCTCTCTCTCTAATAATTATGATTAAATTAGTCTAATCTCTCTGTAATCATTATATAAACTCTCGAGAATCCATGGCTTAATTGGAACACGGCGCCTCTCCTCCGGACCTGGTACGTCTTTTTTCCTCCTGTCTCTCTCTTTCAAATCATCATCATCATCATCATCATCATCTCCTGTGTCTGTCCCAATGTCTGTGAGTTTTCAAGTTTCTAAGCCCTTGCTTCGATTTTCTCCGGAAATCTCGTGGTTTCGGACCCGATTTCGGTAAAACGACGCTGTTGCAACGGACGAACATTCATAAGCTCTTTCCTTATTCAGTCGAATTCAATCGCTTTCGAGGTTACGTCTTCGGATTATCGTTTGATAATGTTTTTTCCCTCCTTTTCTTTGTCTTTTTCTCCCCGTACCATTAATGTTCCTGCGATTCTTTGGATCCACTTGGTGTTCGAGGAGCTCCATTACTATTAAGTCTAGTCTTTGTTTCTGATTATTGTTTGGACAACATGCTTTTTGTTTCATGAGTTCTCTTGTTGATTTTAGGAACATTCTCAGCCTTATCTCCTTTGTTATTATTGTAATTATTGGTTTTGGTAAGAAGGTGCATTGTTGTTCTTCCCCTTGTCCCAATTCCCTGTTCCGTATTCCCATCCTTTGTTTCAAATGGATCTCAATTTAGCTTGTGCAATAGTGGTCCTAATTTTTCTTTGTTGCTGGTGATTTAGGTCTAACGGGTCAAAGAGGCAGCTAAAAGTTTGAAATCTAAGAACTGGGATCCTTGTGAAGTTTGGAATTTTATGTCTTCAAAATCATGCTTTCTTCACAGAAATGGAAGTTTTCATGGTCTCAGATAGCTACTGTCGCTGCTGTGATCGTTCTGGTCTCATTGGTTCATCTATTCCTCGTCCCGGTGGTCCCATCTTTCGATTCTTTCAGCGCCCGACAAGCTCAGAATCTTTGTGGACCGAATCATGGGACGGGCAAGGAGTCAAGTGAAGAGCAGAGAGACCAACTGGTGGTTGCTTTCGATAAAAAGTTTCCTGCTGCC